TATCATTTATTCTTTTATGATAGTTATAATTGAATTTTATTGATTATAGTTATGTCATTTGGTTACATAATATACGACCGTTTGATTTTATTGATCAATGGGTTATAATCAGAACTGTGAAAAAAGTAAACTGTTGATTACTATTACAATAGTTGAAATCATGAGTCACTTGAAGCTAGACCACCATCTGCTCACAAGTGACTGACTTCAAGAGACACTCTTGGGGTTCTAGTGGGAAGCCGTGACCAGTGGAGTTCCACCAGGTCTGTTGTGAGATATTAACTTACTGAAGACAATGGTGACGGTAGCGCAATTTCATGAATTAGTTTAAGTTAGACATTAACACCGTTAGATGCCGACCGGCTCACTGGTCTAGTGGTTAAGCGCTCACGCGCGAGACTGACAGATCTTGGGCTCGAATTTCGTGGGGAGTGAGATAGCGGATGCTTACTGCTGAGGAGTCCCATACTAGGGTGAAACGGCCGTCCAATGCTTTCAGGTTTTCAATAGTGTTCTAACATTCATCGATTCATGATCTTAATTTAAATCAGATTTATCATCTATAAATAAAGTCACATAGACCATTGATTAGCTATTTCATATAGAAAAGGTTAGTGGTAAATGATTTGTCTTTGATTACATATGCTTTTGAAATATTGCTCGCGTATAGTTTAACCAATAAGTAAGTTGTGTTGACATTAGTTGTAAACTATTAGATAGAGACTAATGCTGCTATAAATCTTTATCAACTGAAATAATTATGATGTACTATGTATGCTCAGCTATCGCCCCATGCTGATGAAATATGATGGGTGATACAGAAGTTAACCGGATAAAGGCTACACTACTTAAGACCGAAGTATGATACCAGTTTATGAATTTAATAATTGTTTGATTAGACGATATTGAGGGGTTGGATGATTCTAATCAATCCAACTACAATTTCTTTAACTTTTGATAGTAGCTTACATAATCAGCCCAGATCTATGAGTGTAATAATAATAATCTGTGAACTATTCACTGTCCATTATCAATAATGACTTGTTATGAAATATTAATTACCGAACTCGAATATATTTTAAATACAAAATCATTATTGTCTACTTACTGTATAGTTCTCAACTTAAAAATGGATTTCATGATAATTCTCCTTTTTCACGTTAACTAGAATAAATTAAACTTGATCCAAAGACACATAAATGAATTGACTAGCATTTAATTAATAATTTCAATGGTTGAGATCATGAGTCAAATAAAGCTGGACCATCATAGAAAACCTGAAAGCACTGGAAGGCCGTTTCATGCTAGTATGCAACTCCTCAGTAGTGCGCATCCACGATCCAATCTCGCGGGGCCCGAACCCAGGACCTATCATTCTCGCACACGAACGCTTAACCACTAGACCAGTGAGCCGGCTGGCATCCAACAGTGTTAATGTCTAACTTCAACTAATCCACGAGATTGCGCCACCATACACCATTGTCATCATTGAGTTACTATCTCACAACAGACCTGGTGGAACTCCACTGGTCACTGCTTCAACTGTCTCATGATCTCAACGATTGAAATTACTATAATATCCAAAAAGCCCTTATGACATTTAATTAATAATTAATAAAACTGGTAAAAAGTAATACTCTACATGAGATGATAGAGAATATTAACAGCTTAAAATGAGGATATTGAAGATATTATAATCTCTGTGAGAGAATTCTTTTCTCTTTGAAATATATGCTGCTGATGATGTTGTATAGAAGGAGAATAAATGTTTCACAACTAAATCATTTAGTATAAGGGTCACAATACTTTCAAATACTTCAACATATTACTTTTATTCACTTCAATGAGTTGTTTCATCAAACATGTGTATAGAGAAAAGATATATTTCCTATCTATTTTTCTTTTGTTTTTCTCTTTACCTTAATAAATTAAATCTTAACTGAAATTATTTGACAATTATGACAAGTTTACATAGGTGAAATAAATAAGTTTCGCTTCTATCGTCTTGTACTCTTCATTGCCTTCCTCTTCGTTTTCTTTCGTTTTTGTTTTTCTCTCCCCCTTTCACTTTATTAGTATATTCACCAATATTGTTACAAATAACCATTAGTATTATTGATATACAATTTATCCTATTCTCTGTTTGTTACTATGACACATTTTAATTTAAATAACTCATAGTTAATGAGACAGATAGGTAGATAGATATTTATATGAGTAGTTGGTTTCAATATAACAATTATATTTGTTTATATTTTTAAATACACGTATTAAAGAGATTTGTTTTCATTGACAAAGAAATGGTTTCTTTTGTCGATTTTTTAAATATTCGATGGTCTAATGATTAAGATCTCGTGCGCGAGACTGATAGGTCCTGAGTTCGAATCTCGCAGGGGGCGGAATCATGGATGAGCACTGTTGAAAAGTTCCATAATGGGACGAAATGGTCGTCTAGTGCTTTCAGGTTTTCCATGGTGGTCTAGTTTATATTGACTCATGATCTCAACCATTGAAATTATTATAATATTCACAAAACCCCTTCTGATATGAAATGCTCAATTGTTTTTATTGAGTTTATGTATATATCTATGGAAAAGGTAATGACTATGTATTTTCTTTACAGTTTTATTCTTAGTTTTGGGATTTATGACTAGTTGTAATGAAAATCCCACCCTTGTACATATATGTATATACATACGTACATGTATTCATGTATTCAACTATAATGTTAACTTATAACATGAATTAAATTAAGTTGAAATAATTTATGTCAGTTACCTAATTACAAATGAACGAACTAGCTTACACAACATCCCTTCAACTAAATTGATACAGTTAATTATTTAATGAGTTATTTCAAGATTTCCCTGAAATTCTAGTGAGAATTTATGCTATGTAGATATGTCGAGAATAAAATAGTTAGGATCAAGTGGATTAGATGACCAAGGAGTTATATACCGAATCTACTGAAATTGAAACTATATTATTACACACTTACTCAGTAATTCTATTACTTAAGAGTTCTCCATGATAGTAGGAAAACTATGAAAGACATTATCTAAAAGATACAAGTGTTTATTAACAGTTGCCTACGAAAAATACTTCAAATCCGTTGGACAAACACTATCAACAACACCCCACTGTGGAAGAGAATAAACCAGATCCCAGCAGAGAAACAAATCAAGAAGAACCGCTGGAAGTGGATAGGAAACACATTGAGGAAAGCATCTAACTGTGTCATAAGGTAAGCCCTCACATGGAATCCTCAAGGTCAAAGGAGAAGAGGAAGACCAAAGAACACATTGAGCCGAGAAATGGAGACAGACATGAGAAAAATGAACAAAAGTTGGATAGAACTGTAAAGGAAGGCTCAGGACAGAGTGATTTGTAGAATGCTGGTCGGTGGCCTATGCTCGATTGAGAGTAACCAGCGTACGTATGTAAGTAAGTAAGTAAGTAGGTATGAGACTAGGAGGTTTTGAGTTCGATCATTGACATGTAATGGATACTTATTGATAGTAAAACTCATACTAGGACAAAGTAGCTGTCTATTTCTCTTTAGTTTTCATTGAGACCACAAATGAAATCAATCTGTCACGAATACAATCTACCGATAAACCAATATTTGAACATTTTTTAAAGAATATAAATATTGTTGTAGTGAATGAGAACATAAGTGGGGACAATCAAATGCATTTAAACGCAATATTACAAAGTTCTTTGGTAAATATGAAAACTATACGTTCAATACTTCATTTGTAAATTGTCCATCAATTGTCTCAAACTTCATTGTTTCTTCATTCCCATAACAATTATTCTGTGTTCCTGTTCTCTTCGATCTAATCGTTCTAACCTTCTATTGCCAGGCATTCCATTGCTAACTCGTGTTATATATTACTTACGTCGATATAAGTAGCATACACCACACTCTGATTTATCACTTTTAACAAATCAAGTTGAACGAATTAATTAATTTTTAAAATCACTCTCGCTAAATTTCGATGATTCGATAAAGCATAAATAATTTCTATTTATAAATGAAATGAATGTAACTAATGATTATAGACAGATTTGTAATTGTATTCACAGGGGAAAAAGATGGAAATTGAAGTTACGCAATTAGAAACTATAGGATTAAGCAAGTTGTATACATATTTTATTTCATTCCATATAAGTGATAAGCAAAACAAACAAACAAACAAACAAACATGGAAACCAAAATCAAACTCGATCAATTTTAAACACTAAAAAGCTACATGAAAGCCATCAGTACTAAAATGTTATCGTTCATTTAACAAGATATCCGGTGGACTGATGTTCACAATGTCATTTGTTTGAATACCATTATAAAACATTGTGTGATGGCTCTCTGGAAGGAACAATTAATCAAGTTTCCTATATTACTGTGATGGAAAACTGTCGTTTCAAGTTATAATATGTATTATTTCATGTGAGAAATTCATTTTCCCGAGGCAAGTGGAAACAATTAAAGGATATTAGTAAAAGGAGTGAGGGTTATGGAGATAGTGAGATTTTCATAGTTTAAATCACAGACCAATCTTAGCTAGACTACAACTTTAAACCAAAAGTCACCGGACATTCGGCTTGTCCTAGTATAACCTTCCTTAGCAATGAACCTTTACGAACAGGTTGTGAATCAAAGATCCTAGGATCTTTGAACTCAGATCGTGAACGCTTAACTTATCGACGATCGATGATATGTCACAATATTTCCTGACCATCTTCTGTTGAATAAACTGGATAACTGTTTCATCACTGACATGTGGTCACGGATATGTACTACTGAGAAGTACCATACTAGGACAAGACATCTATCCACTGGTTCCTGGTTTTCAGTAGTGGTCTAGCTAATATTAGTTCATGATTTAAAGTATGAAAATTATGAATAATTCGGTCTTACATGGATCAGTGGTTTTACTATTTTATCATTATACAAGAATTTTTATATTACTCACTCTCTTTCTTTTCTCCTCTGTTAGATTCTTCAAAAAGCCCTCATCACTCATTACAATCAACTGTAAATCGACAGTCTTATATGAATGAAAACGAGTTTAAGGAAAAAACAGAAACGGAATCCAATCTGAATGAAGAATTTCAACCATCTAATGAATTGAATACAACAATCAATGACATTGACAATGTTACTGATGATGACGGTGGGGAAGTATTAAATAATAATATTCATTGTCTTTCATCTGTAACACCATTAAATCTTTCCATAGACAATAAACTTACTAATAGAAATAATGATAACTGTACATTTGACTTAATTAAACCCACTGTAAATTTGTCATTTCCTTTCCAATATTCTGGTTACCATGATAATTGTAATCCAATAACCAATATGAATATGCATAAATCTGAAAGTCATATAAATGACAATTCAATGAATACTGGAATAACAGTAACAACAACAAACTGTATTTATAATAATGATAATAATAGTAATTATTATCATATTAAAGAGAATGATGTAATGAATAATCGGAAAACTCAACAATTTTCCACTCCATTTCATAATTCAAACAATAATAATAATAATGAGAATGAGAAGAAATCTAAAATGGATCAACAAATTAGTATTGAATCAAATTCAACAGAATGTATTCGTAATGCTACAACAACAACTACTACTATCACTAATTCATCTGGGAAATCTAGACGATCAAAATGTCCAAAATCATTGAAATACACACAACTGTAAGTTGTATTATAATAAAAAGTTAATGTTATGTTTGTAGGAGTTATGTGGAAGTTTGTTTAAAATGTAGACTGTATTCTTTAAAGATTAATCTCAATCGGGGTACCATAGAAAATCAAGAAAGACTGAACGGCTATCTCGTCTTAGTATGGGACTTTCTAAAAATGTGTACTCAATGTTTCATCGGAGGTTGTACCCGGGACTTTTAGGTTTCAAGAAGAGTACTTAACCAGTAGAACTCCTCGGTCAGTGTCCAATGGTACAATCTTAACTTCAACCAATTTATAATGTAGAAAGATAATAGTTCAATATCATTAATGATAACTATTTCACTATAAACGTGTTTAAACTCCACCAGTCTCATACTATGAAGAAACAATTGTTCAATGCTTCCTGATTTTCGACTGAGATTACTTACATGCGTACGCTGGTTACTCTCAATCGAGCATAGGCCACCGACCAGCATTCTACAAATCACTCTGTCCTGAGCCTTCCTTTACAGTTCTATCCAACTTTTGTTCATTTTTCTCATGTCTGTCTCCATTTCTCGGCTCAATGTGTTCTTTGGTCTTCCTCTTCTCCTTTGACCTTGAGGATTCCATGTGAGGGCTTACCTTATGACACAGTTAGATGCTTTCCTCAATGTGTTTCCTATCCACTTCCAGCGGTTCTTCTTGATTTGTTTCTCTGCTGGGATCTGGTTTATTCTCTTCCACAGTGGGGTGTTGTTGATAGTGTTTGTCCAACGGATTTGAAGTATTTTTCGTAGGCAACTGTTAATAAACACTTGTATCTTTTAGATGATGGCTTTCGTAATTCTCCAGGTTTTGGCCCTATACAATCAACCGAAATTAGTCTATGATAAATAAAACCTTCAGATAGGTTGATGCACTGATTTCTTGGAACAATCCATGTCATAATTTCATAAATTAAAAACATATTAATCTAAAATTTATCACAAATCCATAACTGTTTTGAGGTACATTAGTCTCTATGTATGATATAAATTGATTATTGATTGAATAGGATTCGATTAAACTGTTCATTTAAAGTATCTATTTTTAAATAATATTATAATTGTAACCAAATAATATAGAATAAGGAAAATGATTAATTACTGAAGGATACCGAAATTGTTCCAAGTTTATAGACTTTTGTTACATTGTCAAATTATGACACATTTAGTTCGTTACGAATAATACAAGACTTGACGTAGTTGATGACAATAGATCCACAGTAACACACTTTACATTAGAATAACGAGAGAGTTGACAAATTTTGAAACAAATGATTTAAAATAATAATAAAAATAATAATGAAAAATTCGACAAAAGAAAATGTATTATGCGTATTTATATAGATGGTGACTAGCGATGAAATCCAAGACGTACGTTTTGTTCTCTTTGAAACTCGCCAACTGGATGTATCCACGTTCCAGAGTTAATGTTCACCCCGGGTCTCGAACCCAGTACCGTTCGCTTCAAACGCTATTATGTTATCCACTTAGCTACTAAGTCTTATGCGTATTTATATATTTTAAATAATCTAAACGATTGAAATGGAAAGAACTGTAACATCTCACTTGGTAAACTGATTCTAAATTCTTAAAGAGAAAAAATACTCGTATAAACACTTAGTTCTCAGTTTTTATCAAACTGTTTATTAACATTTTGACAAATGTTCATGTATCTGAATATATCGGAGTCAATGCTATAGGTTTTTAGTTATTTTACTTATCATCTTTGTTACAACAATTTGTAATGAGTATTCATTGTATGGCAATAGAGGAGATAGTATCTCCTAAAACGGTTTACTTCAATAGTCAATACTTTTATAAACATGTAGTGATATTTCCATATTTTCATCCTTAATCTCTTTCCATCCTACTTTTATATCATTTAACACGTCTGACACATTTCAGCTATTACAGTCGATAAGGGTGTATAGCCTTATCAACTGATTTATTATTTCAATCTAGTAGTCTACACCTTGTTTTAACATAAACCACTCACCGATTCGTCTCTAAGCTGCACAATTGAAAATGCGTAAAGTTAATTTTCAGACAATCAGTGTTTATTTAATTAATATTAACTTATAGGTAACAATTAAAAATAGTAATTTCAATAGTGGAGATCATGAGTCAATTGAAGCTAGACTATCATGGAAAACCTGCAAGAACTGAACGGCCGTTTCTTCCTATTGTGGGACTCCTCAGTGGTGCGCATCCACGACTCAGACTTGCGGTGGATGTGTCGCTCAATTTAGTGGGTTGGTTAAAGTTAGATATTAACACTGTTGGATACCGACTAAACGGTCCAGTGGTTAAGCACTCGCGCACAAGACTGATAGGTCCTGGGTTCGAATCTCGCGAGGGGCGGGATCGTGGGTGCGCGCTGCTGAGGAGTCCCACGATAGGACGAAACGGCCGTCCAGTACTTGTAGGTTTTTCATGGTGGTCTAGCTTTATTTGACTCATGATCTGAACTATTGAAATTACCACAATCTCCATAAAACCCCTTTTAAAACTAAAAATAGTATGTTTGTTATGCTGATCTGAAGCTTCTTTTTAATGAGTTTAATCACTTTTTGCTAAATCTCATCTACATAGCTAAGTATCACAAAACCAACCTAAACTAATTTTATATTTATTAGTCAGTAATTGTTAAAACAAATTTTAGTTAGAGTTACCAGATTCAATTCCAATTTTGTGATTTCAAAGAGGTACCTGTAGTGAAATGATTGAATCACTTAAATCATATTCAGTAGCTCCAGTTTGTGGCCTCACAAAAAATATTTCGTTTTAAGTGATTAGTTAACTTTACTAACTCTTATATTTAAGTCGTGGATTACAGATAGATACATTAATATGTACTTGATATTTGAGTTCCATAACAAAGTAGATAAACGTATATGTAACAATGACCAATATATATATGCTATGGAACTCAGCTTTAAAGTTTGTTAATATGAATGTTTTGAGTCGTAAAATGGTGAAAAAAGAGTGTCTGCCGATAGATGATATGTGGTGATCAACAGATAACTATAATCCTATACTAATAGATAAGTAACTGTTCATGGGATCGAATTATTGATCGGTTAGTTCAAATGAAATGGTATTCAATGATAATAGAGCAGAATAATGAATATGATTGTATATTATCTAACAGATAAGCGGTTGTTAGATGGTGGTTGGAGGTAGTCAACAGGAAACCATGGACTCGAGTTTCGTGTTATTTGGCACTCATCAGCAAGGTGTGCCTGTAATATAGAGGGGACTGGTGCTCACTGACGGATTCGATCCCATGTCGCCCACCTCTACAGTTAGAGACGTTATCCCTGGGCTATCCGGGCCGCGGCTGACCTCCTGTAGGACTGAGATCACTGGTTGGTGATCAATTTCATGTGTGTCAAGTCCTTCTTAGTGAAGACCGAATGCTATCGAACAAGTTGCAATGTGGCCACCAGTCTAAGTGACCCGACACTGTGTGCACTATGTTGAGGTAAGACGGTGGTTGAAGGTAGTCAACAGGAAACCATGGACCTGAGTTTCGTGCTACTTGGCACTCGTCAACAAAGTGTACATGTAATTATAATTAAATGTAACGGATGAAATGATTTTATTGAAATTCTATCACTAATTTATGATTGATAGAATTCCGATAAGTTAGCAACGAAACAGTTTAGTTTCTGTTAGGTTTACAAATATTCATTACCAATATGTTTTATACTGAGAAGAAGCCATTTCCAAGTGTTCCCTGGTACTTTACAATACTTTAAATGAGTTCAATCTACGATGAATACGATCTACAAATAAAATGATTATTCTTTATATTAATTATTAAATAATTCATTACACATTTCATTTTTCTATTCATCTTTTTTATTTATTTATAACAGTAATTGTTTAAATCAATCGAGTAATATATCCAGATCAGAGGAATTACATTTATCCAATACTCATTTTACAACAAAATGGTCAAGTGATGATAAACAACAAAGAAATCAAAAAATAAAAATATTAGAAAATGATAAACTTGCACAAATTAAATGTCGTTTAGAAACTAAAGAACTATGGGAGAAATTCAATGAATTAGGCACTGAAATGATCATTACAAAATCTGGCCGGTGAGTAAGGAATTATTATTATTATTATTATTATTGTCATCACTTGATCATGATTTTTTCTATTATGAATGTATGAAACTATTAAATTCCCTGAATGATTTATTATGTTACTTAAGTTTTATAAGTAAAGATGGATGATATCTAACAATGAAACCCAGAACGCTGTAGCTAAATGGATAACGCTATAGAATTTGAAGCAAACAGTACCGGGTTTGAGTCACAGAATGAACATCAACTCTGGAATATAGTTACATCCAGTTGATGAGTGTCAAATGGGACGAAACTCACGTTCTGGATTCCACTGCTAGCCACCGTTTATATTTGCTTAGAATAACATGAATTCATTTATTTCACGAATTCACCTCAACTGCTTACAACTTAAAACCATGGTATTGATCATTAAAACAAAATTTGTATACACACTTTACATTAGAAGCATCTCTTGAATAAATTATGTTAACATGTGAAGATAGAATAATGCTATGAATAATAGATTATAATATGGAAGAATTAACATTATTGAAAAGTTCACTTATAGGTTAAATATATGAATATCTTAGAAGAGCACAAAAGTGGAATTTTTATTAATTTTAATAGTTGACATCACGATTCAATTGAAGCTAGAATATCATGGAAAACCTGGAAGCACTGGATGGCCGTTTCATACTTCTGTAGGACTCCTCATCAATGCGTAGCCATGATACCACCTCACGAGATTCAAACCCAGGACCTATTGGCCTCACGCTTGAACTATAGGTCTTGAGTTCGAATCTCGCGAGGCAGGATCGTGGATGATCACTGCTGAGGAGTCCCGTACTGGGACGAAACTGCTATCCAGTACTTCCAGGTTTCCCATGATGATCTACCTTTAAATGATTTATAATCTCAACTATTAGAATTTTGATCCTCGAAATTAAAGATCAACTGTGTAATACTTACTTAAAAATATAAATTATTGATTCAACTTAAAAACTTTTATTTTTTCGTTTATTTTATTTATTTTTTTTAAAAAAAATTAATTTATAGACGAATGTTTCCAGTAATTCGTGCATCATTTAGTGGATTAGAATCTGAAGCTAAATATTTAGTTTTAATGGATATTATTCCAGTTGATTGTAAACGATATCGTTATGCATATCATCGATCAAGTTGGTTGGTAGCTGGTAAAGCAGATCCAGAATTACGTTTAAGACATTATGTACATCCAGATTCACCATTTACTGGTGAACAATTAATGAGACAAACAGTATCATTTGAAAAATTAAAATTAACCAATAATGTATTAGATAGACAAGGTTATGTAAGTTATGTTATCTTTTTAATTTTGTTATTTATGCTAAGAAGATTTTAAATTATCTAGTTTTTTTTTATTAATTAATAATATCAGAAGGGTTTTGTGGATATTATAGTAATTTCAATGGTTGAAGTCGTGGATGCACACTGCTGAGGAGTCCCACAATAGGACGAAACGACTATTCAATGCTTCCAGGTTTTCCATGGTGATCTAGCTTCAATTGACTCATGATCTCAACCATTGAAATAAATAATATCCTAAGATTGTTGTCAATCATTGTATATACAGAATTGTTCCATTCTATTTAACAGAGCATAAATAACAAAACCTTGTTATTCATACTCTGATTTAATTTATCAAGGGATCTTGATCCATGGAATGTTTTAGAAAAAAAAACACGCCTCTTTGAAAAGCTAATCATATTTCATCATAATTTTAACTTCTTTGAACATTAGGCTTATTTCTAAATTCATGACTTTTCTCTCATGCTTTGTGGAGAATCATAGTTGTAGTATTGTATATCAGTCTTGTATTATATCGAGTTTGTATTGATCCAACTTCGTATTAGAAGAATATCTCAATTGTTCATAATTTGGAGATTACTCTAAACTATAACAATTTACTGCTTTTATTCTATACAATCGATATTTTGGTCATATACAATTATGATATTTCGTTTTAAGAAAACTAGGTCCATTAGAAATGAACTAGATTATATGATTTTTATATTTTTAAGGTGGAGATTTGAGGTAATCGACAGGAAACCCCATTCGACCTAGATTTCGGGCTATTTAGCATTCTTCAACAAGGTGTACCTGTAATCTTGGGGGCACAGACTTTGTCACCGAGCTATCCAGGTAGTAACTAATCTTCTGTAAGACGGAAATGTAATTACAATTGATTGATCACCGAGTAGTGACCAATGTCATATATTGTCTAAATTCTTTTTAGTTCTGATCAAATTTTATCGATCAGGTATGATATGTTTAAACGACAGCAATGGTTTTGATAAAGTGACATTAAGCAAAAAATAACAGTAGAATTATTCTAAGAAGTACATCTGTGACCGTTGTGAAGAAGATAAAATAAACTTGAATAAATCATACAATGTCATTTATTTAAATTATCAATCAGTCAAATGAAATGTATCAGTTCACAGATTAATAAATGCAATAGATATGAAGTATGTAGTATTGAAAGATTTCGAAACAGATGGAAATAATAGTTCAAATCTTCTTGATATTTCGTATTTGTTCAGCTGTAGTCTATGTAAAATAGAAAACCAACAAAAAGAACACTATAAGTCAGTAATTTTTAGATATAATAAACAAACTACTTCCAGTGATAACTATAAGTGATGTTGCAGAATATAGATAAGTAATTAAAAATGACCAAAAACCAAAGTTTCTGAAAGCAATAAGAATTAATAATCTTTAGAATAAAAACAAACAATAACTACAAGATGGTGGTTGGAGGTAGTCAACAGGAAACCATGGACCCGAGTTTTGTGCTACTTGGCACTCATCAGCAAAGTGTACCTATAATCTTTGATGGAACTGGTGCTGCCTCATGGATTTGATCCCTTGTTACCCAGCTTCACAGCTAAGGACGTTACCACTGGGCTATCCGAGCCGCGACCGACCCCTGTAGGACTGAGATGTTATCACACAATTGATTGAGCACTGGGTGGTGATCAATCAATTGGGAAACGATAACTATCTACATTGACAAAGGAAAAAAAGAAGAAGGTAATAATTAGCACTTATCATTTGTAAAATTGGAAGAAATCCTAAGACTATGGAAGAATAAAGGATTGAACATGACTCTTTTGTACAAAGGGATCAAATTTAAAATAGTGAATTGCTATAGACTTAACTGCGCACAAACTCATTATCCAAACCTCTTTTAAACCAGTTTTTTGTACATTGTAGAAGTTATTGGACGACAATTCACGTGGTGAAATGTGATTTTATTTAAATTGTAGATCGATTTGTATTCCTCATTAGGTAATCATGTAGGACAATGTTCAGATATTGTCATTGTCCATCCAATGTAATCTACTCAAAATAGACAATCTCTCTATAACATAATTTGATTTGAACAATTAACTAATTAAATGGAGGGATTTTGCGTGAGTGAGAGACTTTTGTATATTTTGAGTAAGATAACGAATTAGTTATGTGTAAAGCATGAAAATAGTTAGGAATTAAGACTTTATTATAAGGTTCTTTTGATAATTGCTTAACTTCATAGTTCAAGAATATCAAAAGGATTTCATTCGGTGACATAGCAAAAAAATGTTTGGGAGTTTAGAAAGGAAAAGCAGAACACATCAGTTCATTGAAAAAAAAAACACCATCAAATTATTACCCAGTCAATTGAAGGTTATTATTACTAACTATTTTTTTATATTAACCTTATACAACTTCTAACATGGAAATGAACTTTTTAAGCAACGATGGATAGTGACTAGCAGTGGAATACAAAACGCGCGTTTTACTCGATTTGGGACTCGTCGGCTGGATGTAACTATATCCACTCTGGGATTCGAACCAAGTGCCATTCACTTCAAACGTTATTACGTTATCCACTTAGCTACTGAGCCCTGATAGCCATTTGCTTGTGCAATGGGGTGAAATTATATTCACTTGGCGTTGTTTACTTGTATCTTCTCATTGTTGTTTAAGACTGCAATCGCTCAACCTCTTGTTGGCATATGTGCATCCTGTGCGGACTGCCTCGATATTGCCTTATGTCATAAGCTTTTTAAGCAATATCGAACAAGATGCACATATGCTAACAAGAGACTGATCAATTGCAGTCGTAAAGAACAATGGGAAGATACAAACAAACAACATCAAGTGAATGGAAATGAACTGTTTATTGATAATTTTGAACAAATTCATAAATTTTTCATTATGTTTTACATCTATTAGGTGTTGCATCTTTGAACTATCCTGTTAATTTTCTTCTTGTAAACGTATGTACTGTTTTAAAGAATTCATCAATAGGATAGCTATCAGAAAAAGGTTATCATGGATATTATAGTAATTTTAATAGTTAAGACCATGAGTCAATTGAAGTTAGACCACCAAGAAAAACCTTCAAGCACTGGACGGTTGTTTCATCCTATTATACAATTTCTCAACAATATGCATCCATGATCCCGTCTCGCAAGATTCGAACCCAGAACCTATCAATCTCATGATCGAACGCTTAACTTCTAGATCATAGAGCTTCCAGGTTTTTCATGATAATCTAGCTTCAATTGATTCAACTATTAATATAAGATAACTCTTTTTAATTGTTTAATTTAATATTTTATTCTTTATAGATTATTTTAAATTCAATGCATAAATATCAACCAAGAGTACATTTAATTCAATTGTCCACTAATCATAACGATAATAATAATAATAATGATAATAATAATCAATTTATTATTAATTCATTATTAACAACCTCATTACCTAAATCATTAGATATACTCCCAACTGATAATATTAAAACATTCACATTTCCAGAAACTATTTTCATTGCTGTTACTGCTTATCAAAATCAATTAGTAAGTTATAAAATAATTTCTATTTTAAACTTATTATTCTTATTGATTGAGATTTATAAACTGATTGATATTAAACCACCATTAAAAATCTGGAAGTTCTGAACGATCGTTTCGTCTTATTGTGCGATTTTTCATCAGTACACATCCACGTTCTCGTTCGCCGGATTCAAACACAGGGCTTTCATTCTCGCAGGTAGAAACAGCTATCTACCTCAGTACAATAGAAAATAGTCGTGCAATTTCGTCAATTGGTTGAAGTTAGACATTAACACCATTGGATGCCGACTCAATGGTTTAGAAGCTAAGCGTTCACTTACGAGACTGATTGATCCTGGGTTCAAATCTCGCGAAACAGGATCGTGGATGTGTACTGCTGAGGGATCCCACAATAGGACAAAACAGCCATCCAGTACTTCAAGATTTTCAATGGTGATCTAACATCAATCGATTTATGACCTTATGGATAATCATCATATAAACAATTTATTACAAGTTATTTAGAAGGGATGGATTATGACTAGTATTCATATCCATGACTTTCCTCTTATTTGAACTTGTCAACTGGATACATCTACGTCCCATTGTTTATATTCATATAAAGGCTTAAACCTAATATCTTTCACTTTAGATTGAAAGCGTACTATCCAAATGGGACGGAACATACATTGTAGATTCCACTTTTAACTAAAATCTATCGATTCGCGAATTATCTTTTTATATAATGAGTGCCTAAATCGTTTAATGATGATAAGAAAAAGTTTACTGTGTCATAATGAGATTATTTTAAAGTGAAATCTTTCTTTTGTTGCGTATTCTATTTGAAACATAAATTAATAGAAGTTAATTTATCGCTCCTTTATTAAAAGTTAACTTTTAAATCAAGTCAGTAAAAGTATACTAAAAGGATTAACCAATCAGAATCGAGAAAATCATTTTAGATTGTTTAGATGGAATTCAAAAACAAATGACGTTTACCTCGCACTACGTAAAATGTATGATAGAAATACTTTTGTATAGTTTCATAAACAAAGATGGATGGTGGCTAGCAGTGATATCCAGGACGCGTGTTTCATCATATTTGGGACTCGTCAGCTGGATGTGCCTGCATCTCAGAGTTGATGTTTACTCCGGGACTCGAACCAAGTACTGTTCACTTCAAATAAGCAAACAATAACAAATGAATTCACCTTTGTATAGTGTTTGAAACATTAAAGATTTTAAAAAGAAATGACAGTGTAAAAAGTATGAAGTTTTCACACTTGATATATGGATTTTGCATAAGACAGTTGAACCAATTAGTTCTTGTTTTAGTCTACTTTTTCATAATAAACTCACAAAAATTGTTTTATAATCAGTAAAAGGTTGTGGGGATTTTTCGATCTCATTAAAATCACGAATCGATCTAAGTTAAATCACTATTGAAAAACTGGGAGCGATGAGCAGCCATTTTGTTCCAGGATTGAACTCTCCAAAGTGTATATCTACTACCCCTCACCCAGGAATCGAACACAGAACCTTCGATCGTGTGCGAACGTTTGATTTCTAAACCATTGAGTCGGAATTCAACAATGTTAATGTCTAACTTTAATTAATTCATGACATTGCACGACCATATTCGATTGTCTTCGGCAGGAAAGTGCTTCACACTCGATACGGTTTAGCTCCACTGGTTACAGCTTTTCACTAGAACTCCTAAACGGCTGTCCAGTGCTTCTGGGTCTTAAGTAGCTGTCTAACTTAGATAGATTTGTGATTTTAGCGAAACTATTTTACAAGTTGTTTACCGAATAATAAGTGACCAGATGAGGTAGGAATGTTAAAACAGGTCACGATTTTTCTGCCTATCAGTATTAGGAATATAAAGATGGCAATGATGATGGTCCTGATGTAACTTCATCTCCATAACTCTCCAGGGAACGCATTAATAGGGACTTTTGAGATAATGATGAATTTTCTTTAAAACTATTCATGGTTATTTAAAAGTAACAGGAAGAAATTCTTAGTATCTGAATAAATTCGCGCACAATTTGATGAGGATACGTAGAGATAGTTGTACAAAATTAAGATGGGAAAATTGGTAATAAACGTTGAAGAACAAATGTACTTCCTAAAACCATCAGATCTTAATAGAATTCATTAGTTCTATTAAGAAATATTTTTGAGTTATGAAGACTCTCTGTTGATTGACTGTAAAGTGGTTTCAACATCATACGATCATTCTGAGAATCGTTTATCTTTATCCCTATGCTATACTTTTATCATCAAACCACGTCGTTATTAATGGCGGAATTATAGGTAAGGTTATATATAATACAAATTGTATTAAAAACCTCAGGGTTTGAACAGTTCCAATGTCATTATCTCATTCATAAAATGATTTGTAACCTTTTAAGTGAACCCAGATACTTATTGTTCTTGAATGAAGGATCTCCTGTATGAAAAAAATAACTAATTTTAGTGTGGTAAACATAGTTTATAAATCTTGAAAGCTCACTAGATATATAATCTGAATTTCGTTTCTAGATAAAAAATTATTAATTTGCTCATTAGCTAATAAGTAGTATACAGATTAAAGGTCATAACAAGCGACGCTTAACAAGGGAAATATAGTACAACATGATATACTTTCTTGATTGGCATCAACCACAGATGTTGTTTACAAACATTTTAAAGTCCAGTTAATTAGTTTGATTTTCTTCTTCTTCTTCTTCTTTTTAAGATAACGAAATTGAAAATTGACTGTAATCCATTTGCTAAAGGATTTCGTGATTCATCTCGCCTTACAGAATTTGAAAGGTTAGTTATTGTATCTATGTATGAATATGTTCATATATATATATATATATATATATATATATATATATATATATTCGCTTAAACTTACATAACAATTTGACTTTTTACCTTAGTAAGAAATCAGTAATCATATCAAATCTTTCATTTCTCAGCCTTTTGTAAAGTAATCCTCTATGTTGTAGGGTATTTTTGTCATTATAAACATTTCATCACAAATGGCTTTTCAAATCAAGACCTAAAGGTCCTGAGTTCAATTTCTGGTATTGTCAGAAATTCAGGCTGTTGATGAGCCCCATACTAGGATGAAACATCTCTCGATTGTTTCTTGATTTTCAACGGATTCATAAAATTAGTCAGTGATGCTAACTACTAATTAATGTTACCTAGAGAAATACTCACGATTTTTAAGCTAAACGTGTAAGATGAAACAATTGTCATAAGTTTCCAGGTTTTCAGATGTTCTCAACGCTAAGACACTGAGTAATTTTCGCTCATTCGATTATTAATACCTATTCTGAAAATGTAACATTCCTATCTATCTATCTATCTATCCACACATCTATCTATCTATCTATCCACACATCTATCTATCCACACATCTATCTATCTATCCACACTATCTATCTATCTATCTATCTATCTATCTATCTATCTATCTATCTATCTATCTATCTATCTATCTATCTATCTATCTATCCACACATCTATCTATCTATCTATCTATCCACACATCTATCTATCTATCTATCTATCCACACATCTATCTATCTATCTATCTATCTATCTATCTATCTATCTATCTATCTATCTACTTCCTTTCATTAAATTCTTTCTTCTTCTTCTCTAATATAAAGTTATAATCAGATCACGTAACTATAATTGTATTGTTTTAAGAGAAAACAGACTACAAATTTGCGTTGTTTATCTTTTGTACGTGTATATAAGTGAAAAATATTATTTCATATGTATATTCTGATGTCTGATGTTTTCTTAAGTATGTTAAGTTTAACTTACATTGGTCTTATGTTTGTTTTGTTCAATGATTTAATTTATTTTATCGTTTAACTAGTTCCATGTTTACCACACGTGTCATAACATTCAATGTACTAATTAGTTATTGACAATAGTGATATAGAAAGGTTTGCTTATATGTAACTTTTTCTAAGTTTATTAACACATGGTAATTAGATACTGTGGTTTTTTGTTTGTTTGTTTGTTGTTGCTAGTAATTAATTAAAAATTGATAACTTATACTCAGTTGATTAAAATCAGATAAATAGTTGTTTTATTCCATTTTGGAAACTTTAGATCATTAGGGACAATTAAGAAGTAATGAACTTGGGTATTACTGTAGTTGGCAACCAACTAATATCATAATGCTATACATGCAATATCGAGTAGTCATTTGAATAAATCGCCTCACTACAACTTAGGTAATAGCATCAAAACAATACCAATGATTACATAAACATGATGTTTGTTACTATCCAGTGATCAACCGATGTAAATATTTCAATTATACAGGAATTTGTGAGCAACTTGAATAGCTCAGTGGTATCGAATCAGATTACAAAACTGGGTGGTATGCGTTCGAATCCATCAGGAAGCGTCAGCTTGTTCAAGGCACCAGGTACACTGCTGAAAAGCGTCAACAAGTATATAACTTACGTTCAAGGTCCTCTTTTGACTAATCCTACCTACTTTGCGTCAAGATATAATGCATAGGGTATTAAATCATTTAGATTAAAGATCAAATTACAATTGAATTGACAGAATTTGGTCATCACCGAAGATCAGGCAAACATGAAATTAATTACTTCTCAGTGATTAATCATTATATAATTTGAAACTACTTGTTCTTATGAATACTCCATCTATTTTTATTTGGGTTCATGACACGAAAGTGATACGATAGGAACGTTTACTTATGGACGAGTCAATCAGAGGCGTTTCAGAGATTTCAGGGTTACGGCGCCAATTTCAGTACCTGGTGTTTGCGTACGATCGGTTCATAGAATATCTTAGGGAAAACGTGATAATTTAGCGGCTACAACAAATGGGACCATTAAGATGTTCCTTTATTTGTGATTGCGATAATCAAATGACTTAGAGGAAGAAGTCTGTTAGAATAGGGACTTTTTTATCTCGATCCAAATTGAGGCTAAAGGAAAGTATAATAATTGTTGTGAATTGCATAATAAAAGCATCATTAACATTGGCTGGAACATTCACATATGTTACTGAAGCTTCGGTTGTTAAGTGGTATGAGTATTCTAGAGACATATGCGTAATAAAAATAACAAGCTTACACAACCGGAGTGCACACGAGCAAATATTGAAGCTATGTGGTCGAGGCTGAAAGAGTTTTTGCGACCTTATCATGGCTCCAGAGGCCTACTATTATGAAGCCGTATGGACAAGTCCCTATATCCCATGCGTAACGATTTTAGAACCTTTAAACCACTTTCTAACCTTTAAAATTTTTTGAATCATGTAAAAGAAGTGTATTCACTTTAATTCTTTAGTTTTGTGTAATACATTTTTACTATACTCACCGTTTTCTGACTGGCCAATATTTCTCAAGGTCACTCGACACTTGTTCAAAGGTCGTTCATAAATTATAGTCTCGCTGAAAAGTCATATATACGATTTCCACTTATAGTGAAATGAGCGTTTAAGCAGCACAAACCTTAAAAGTATCATTAAAAAAAATGTAAACAGAATGTTCTACAAGCAATGTCGTTAAAATTGAATTCACTTTCGAGAAAATTTGAAGCTCAGGAGGATAGTTTTGCTGTTGTTAAGTTTTTTTAGCTAGATGATTTAATCACAGAGCTTTGGTTATTGTCCTAGATATCTGTATAAAGTAGGAGCTGTTGATATTGTTCAGAACAATTGTGAAACATTTGAAATTAAACCTTCTAGTTCAGAGAACTCAATAACATCAAAAAAAAATGTGTATTGTTATAGTCAGATGAACATTTTATATACTCTAATTGCTTCTTTTATTACTTATCACTTCTTAGTTTACTCCTTTTGTCTCAATTACTTTTTCTGGACAAAATAACTCTAATGGGTTTTGTCATCATTAATCTAAATTATGGAATAGAAAGTTCATATTAATCAATGAGTATTAACAAACGTCATATTTGTCTTGTGCTTAGTGATGAATGAGATTTATTAATCAAGTTACAATGTAGTCATAGTCTAACTGATCAGACATCGTACTCATTATATTTTGATGTTTGATGATTAGCAATAAACTTCAAATCCAGGTTTCGTGCCTTCTACTACTTACCAAGAATGTGTACTAGTAATATGTAAGGAAATGATGCTCTCTGTGGAATTTAAACTTGTGTCACAGTTTGAAAGATTATCACTTAGCCACCCAGTTATAGATTAATAATAATATTTTAATATCACATGGGTTTTGTAGATATTATAGTAATTTCAATGGTTAAAATCATGATTCAATTGAAGCTACACCACCATGGAAAACATGCAAGCACTGGATGGCCGTTCCGTTTTACTGTGGGACTCCTCGACAGTGTGCATCCAAGACCTCACCCCCTGCGAGATTCGAATCCAGGACCCACTGGTTTCGCGCGCGAGCACTTAACCATTGAGTCGGCATCCAACGGCGTTAATGTCTAACTTCAACTAATCCACGAAATTGAGCGACACATCCATCAGTGTCTTCAGTGAGTTACTATCTCACAACAGACCTGGTTGAACTCCACTGGTCACTACTTCTCACTAGAACTCCAGGAAATACCTCTTGAAGCCAGTCACTAGTGAGCGTATGTTTAGTGCTCGCGTGCGAAACCAGTAGGTCCTGGGTTTGAATCTCGCAGGGGGTGAGGTCGTGGATGCACACTGTCGAGGAGTCCCACAGTAAAACGGAACGGCCATCCAGTGCTTGCATGTTTTCCATGGTGGTGTAGCTTCAGTTGACTCATGATCTTATTCACTGAAATAATACTTTAGTCCTAAAAAAGATTATTCATGGCTTATTCACTTCACATTAAAATTAGAAGTCTACCACCTTTTTTTCGTAAACCTGATTCTGTTCCATTTCCATCTGTGGTATAAAAATTACTCTCCCAATGTTGTTCAGTTAAATGATTACATCAATCCTGTTAAAACTTTTTTGAGAATGATTCAAAATCCTTTCTTATACATTGAGTACATACATTTTCACTGTATTGACATGTGACTTATTATAGTGTTAACAACATTAAATAGACTCTTTGAATGATTAGTAACATAGATGAGATGATTTTCGCATCTGAAAGAATACTGTATTATTATTATTATTATTATTATTATTATTATTATTATCTTTCTTTGACCTTTTTATGACTTCGTATTCCCCCCCCCAGAGCATCTGTAATTAATTCTATGGTCTTATTTGGTCCACACACGTAAGAAAATCACAGCTTTTTTGTATACCACTCTTATGGATAATTACTTACTTACGCCTGTTACTCCCAATGGAGCATAGGCCGCCGACCAGCATTCTCCAACCCACTCTGTCATGGGCCTTCCTTTACAGTTCTGTCCAATTGTTATTTATTCTTCCCATGTCTGTCTCCATTTCTCGGCGTAATATGTTCTTTAATCTTTCTCTCCTCCTTTAACCATGAGTATTCCATGTGAGGGCTTGTCTTGTGATGCAATTTGTTGCTTTCCTCAATGTGTGTCCCATCCATTTCCAGCGCTTCTTCTTGATTTCTTTCTCCTCTGTGATCTAGTTTGTTCTCTCCCGCAGTGGGTCGTTGTTGATGGTGTCTGGCCAACAGATCCAAAGTATTTTACGTAGGCAACTGTTATTATAAACACTTGTACCTTCTGGATGATGCCTTTCGTATTTCTCCAGGTTTCCATCCCATATAGTAGAATTGTCATGACATTTGTATTCTTATGGATAATAAGAATATCATAATTTCATTCCTTGAATACGATTTCAGCTATTAGTTAAAACAAATAGTATACTTTAC